GTTTTCAATACTTTCTATGAAAAGCACTTTTTAATATATCACATACCTGCATAGCTCACCTGATTAAATCAGACATACCGCATACCGGATATATAAATTCCGCTGGAAAAGCAGATGACACCATGATTTGGTCCGATCTAATAGGGCTAGGTACTTTATTACCTGACAAATATGAATTGATGATGAAACGCTTGCGTTTTAATCAGTGCTCTTATTAGTAAATTATACTTAGCATGTGAATCAAAATGGCGAATTCAGTTTTCCCTTCAGTAAGACGAATGGGCAAATGATCAATCTCACGCAACAAAATCCTTCGTATACCGTTGCTACTCTAATGGAAATGTGTTCGCAAATGAGGGGAGTTTCAAAATCATCGATGTATAAATTGAAGAATGAGAAAAAAAATTAAACAGTGACACCACCAAAACCATCTTTGGAAAGAAAAATCGTACCTGTTGATGAAATCTTCAAACTTGCGATTGAAATAATGTTACATTTATTTTATTTTAAGAAAGACCAAAGTATAACTCCAATGCTAGGCAGAAAGAAATTGTGGAAAATTTCAAAGGAATTAAATTTCAGCTGGAAGAAACAAAACAGAAAATCACTCTTAATCTAAAACAATGAAATTATTTGCTGGAGAAGACATTACCTTTTGCAGTACTTCGACAAAAAAAATACCATTTGATGAAAGTATGGTTGAAAAATAACTATTGTCTATAGTTTGTTCAAATAAAGCCCGTTAATCGGAATATGGAGTCGATAAGATGACTCTGAATTTATAGGTATATTTATTTCCAAGCCATAATTTTAAATTAATTTTAGGCTACTTTCGTACTCTTCCAAAATTTTTTGTTCTTTGTTCAACGGAGATATCGTGGGTTCCGCCAGCTTGACGTTAAGCTAGCAAACCCGACCACAGAAAAAATATTTTGTTGAATCAGTCTACGTAATAATTTCAGACTAAAATAAGCTCCTTTTGCCGCCTATCACCGATTTCCTGTGTTGTTTTTATTTCAAATCAGTGAGTACTGCTAGCTTTCCCGTTTACTGACAGAACCAAATCGACATCCTTTACTTTTCGAAAAATTTTACCTTGTATTAATTTTAGGCTCCTTCATTACAATATCGAACGTTTTTTGTTCCTCGTTTAAATTAGATTTTTGGTGATTACCTCAGACACACGCGATAAAAGCCGAGATAAAAACGGAAATAATTTTTCGAAAATATTCTTCAACTATGGGTGAGAACCTCTTTCGCAGACAACCAACGGATTTTATTATTTTTACCGTTAAATTGTATGGCAATTCTCTAACAAATTATTTTTTCAGCTAGTGATAGGCTTCTGGTACTATACAGTGCATTTCTTTAATGCCCCCCCTTTTATTTTTTGAACGGGTCAACTCAAAAAATTGAAATTTGGGATAATGAAATTAATGCATGAATACTTCGTTTTGAAGTGAAATTGACAGATGAATCTTTCAAGATGGCGAAATCTGGCGAAATCTGGGAAAAAAATTAAATGGAAAGAGGGTCTTGTGATACATCAATTGGAAGCTCCTGACGAATACTTCACAACCCTAGAATATGAATCAATATCTTCACCTACTACAAAATGGCGGATCATTTAATAATTTCCTGAAGACAAACACATTAATATCGATATTTTCATTGCCATATGGCAATTCCAACAACCCGATAAGGTTTGTTAAGTTATTTTTTGTTTATAAAAACGACAAAAAATGTCAGTACCTACGACAATGAACATCATTGTTCAGTTAGAATATTCTAATTTAGTTTTCGGTTTTACTAGTAGAAAGGTAGCACGTCAACAATATCTAAAATGGTCAATTCTCGTCCATTGGAAGAAAAAATTGAAGCGATTTTTATTTACGGTGCGACACGTAACTTTCACGAAACCGAAAGGATTTTCAATGAACATTTTGCGAATCGTCCTATCTATAGAAAATATTTGAGGGAACTAGTATCCAAATTCACAACCACCTGTACATAACAAAAAGCCCCCAGGTCATCCGTTCATTCCGGAAGAACAGCAAGTGCAAATAATTGGTGAGATGGTAGTAAATCCTGAACAGTCTACTTATTCCGCCGTGAATGTTTGTGAGGTGTCTCCTTCTACTGTCTGTGGAGTTTTGAAAAGGAATAGGTATCATCCATACAAAATTAAAATGGTACACCAATTAACTGAAGATGGCCCTGATCGAAGAATAGAATTCTGCGAAATCATGACGGAAACAATTGCAAGGCATCCTACCTATCTCCACAATATTTGTTTTAGTGACGATTGTATATTTTTTTTAAACGGCAATGTTCACAGACAAAATTGCCGTTATTGGAGTGACACCAACCCTCACGATTTCCGGGAAATACATATCCATTATCCAGAAAAAATTAACGTTTGGGCAGGAATATTGGGAAACCATATTGTAGGACCTCTATTTATTGATCAAAATTCAACAGGGAAATTGTATTTGAATATGCTGGAAACCACTGTTGATCCTGGATATTGTATTGCATCAAGATGGAGCACCACCACATTACTCCAGACAAGTAAGAAACTATTTGGATACTACTTTTCCCGGTCGTTGGATTGGCCGTCGAAGTCCTAAAGAATGGCCAGCCCGTTCGCCAGGTTTGACACCTTTGGACTTTTTATGGGGTTATTTGAAGCAGAAGGTATACGAAACTGAACCTGCTTCAATATTGGATATACGGCAGAGAATAATAAATATTTGTAGAGATATTGACGTTACTGTGTTCGAAAATGTTCGGCGTGAAATATCGGATAGGCTGATGTCAAGAAGTTCAAGGCAACCATTTCGAGCATCTTCTGAAGTGACCTCAATCTTATTACCTCATATTATGTAGTTAAATATCAATGTATTCAGGCAATTATTAAAAGTTCCACCATTTTGTAGCAGTTGAAGATATTGACAGTATATTCATGTGTCACAAGACCCCCTGTTACCCTATTGATTAGACTTTTGCTCCTCGTTTGAACTGAATATTTGAGTGATTAGGTACCTCAAGCACGCACGATAAAATCGGAAATATATTTTGAAAAACATTCTTGATCTGTGAAAAAGATAGCCCTCCTACGACACTAGAGGGCTATTTTCAAACAATTATATCCATTTCTGTCGTGTAAGTATATCGGAAGTTAAATTTGAACGCATAGAAGAAGTTGATCAATTAATGAAGGAAATCAATTTCAAATTGCTGAAAAGTGAGATATTTCGATTTGGTCCTGTTAGCTTAATGATGAAACTGGCAGAACCCTCTGATTAAAAAACATCACATGGCCATGGATGAGAATAGGAGTCTAAAATGGGCCCAAAATTCACAAAATATTTTTATGTCTTCCACATTTAGAGAAAATTTTCAAACAATTATTTCCTTATCTACCGGGTGTGTCTGAGGTAATCACCCAAATATTCTATTCAAACGAGGAGCAACATGAAGGAGGCTAAAATTATTATGAGATCAAAGTTTCCAAAAAGTGAAGGATTTTGATTCAGTTTTCACAGATTGAAAAAAACACACAAACCGTGATAGGGGGACAAGAGGGGCCAAAATGGACCTAAAATTATGACGTAGCCTGATTCTACAAAATATCCGTTGAATGAAGAGCAAAACATTCTGGATAGAGTACAAAATTAACCTAAAATTATGGACAGAAAATAAATATAAAAATTCAAAGTGGTTCTACTAGCGTAACAGGGGTCTATAGGTGTGAATTTACCCAAATGATAAATATTTCAATATTCCGCCATTATGAAATTTCATTTGCTTTCATCTGGCCAAGTTTTGGTCGAATTCAGATTTATTACCCGCGTAAAAAAGTTCTTCAAACCCTGAAATTTTAGTAAGGCTGCCAAAACAGCAGGAGCTGCAATTTTTCGTTATATCATGATTTCCATGTTTTACCCATGTTTCCAGTGTTCCAAAAAATATTTCAATATCTTATTTATTTGTAAGTAAAGATTTTATCTACCTATCTCCGTAGATTAATCAAATCCTGTTATTAATATATTTTACCTTTTGTATAGCAAGCTTGGAGTTATTAGTGGATTTTAGGCATTTTGAAGACAATAATCTGATGGAAAAAACCTGCATTGATTTTTACTGTTACAATAAACTATTTTTCGAACAATTTGAAATGTAATATTCTACTCGAAATTCAATTCAACCATCCAAGTTATCCTAGTATTACTGTCAAAATAAAACAATGGAAGGAAGTGGTAACAGAGCATTGTCAAATAAATTATTTAATGAGCTACTGTAACAAAATTCATGTCATACTTAATGGTATTGAACAACTCACAATACACTAATAAAAGCAAGCAGACAATTTATGACAATTAATTCAAGAGAACGTTTATGGCAATCAAAGAGCAATTTGAAATGTACAGTGCTTAGGCGCAGACGCACAACCCTGGATTTTCACTTGCACCTGTACTTGAACCTGACCTGTCACGGGATACACTTTCTAGGGGTAGCCTAGATCTGGATAAACAGGATTTAAACATAGGCTAGGTCAAGAGGGAAGAACCAACTATATGTAACTGGATTGTGACATGCTCAATTGAAAATGACTTGGATGATATCGTAACGGTGTTTGTTGTAACTATTCCTACACCTACATTGAGATAGGGACAGCCCTTTTCGCCTTTACGGGCGTTACCTAAGGCAGGATCCAAAGCAGAGTTGCCGATTTATATAAACACGAATGATTAAATAAGCAACCGGATTATTCAGGTCAGCCACAAAAGAATAAACTGTTACAAACGTTTCCCTTTCGGTATCACTTTCGCAGACTGTATAGAAATTATCCAAACAAAAGTGAATCTACCTACATCACCGTTCAATGTACATCGAAAACAGGTTTGCGAAAGAACGCACGTAAATAACATTGGCGACTGTGAAAGATAACCTGCAAATTCATGAAGTCATGCTTTGTTAAAATGACACTTAGTTACCTCCTGAACTCGCTGAAAAAGGCACTTGCAAGTCAATGTTTTCATTATCCGTAGAAACTTCCAAATCCACTTCAGCATTAACCACCGAAACTGTAGATATGCCGTTTTCGTTTTGTGGTGTAGTAGATGCGGCAACAGAGCTAGGAACGCTCATACTTGTCGCTTCTTCATGCATTGTTTATTAGATTAAGCACTTATCCCGTAATGATAACCGAATTTACCACGCCTCAAGGTCCTAGGAATTACTGACCTTCAACTTCGCGCCAAGGTTTCACCAATATCTATTTCTTAGAACGATGTAAAAATCGAACGTTGTATAAATGTAGGTCTCTAGGCCACTTCGCTTACACTTTGCATTCAGACAGACGTGACTGCAGTAGTCAAATGACCAACTACTTACATAACCTCGCTCTTGTCAACATGAATTTTATTGAATGTATTTCATTCAATTGAGATCCGCAAGGGAAACAAAAATTAATGCTCATATTTAAAATCAATTAAATTGCCACTTATTCTCTTATGGAATTTATTTTTTGAGGTACAGACAACTTTCTAGGTTTAAGTAGGTCAACATTGTTTATTTATTCTGTTGCGTCTATTGATGTTGCATAACTTTCATTCGATTTCAAACATGTATTAATACTAGATTTAATGTTTTATTCATTCATGATTGGAAATGCTGCTCTAATTTGAATTATGGCCATCCATAAAACTTTAATTTATGGTCAACCATTATACGCGTGCGCTTAGACGTCACTTTCAAATTTTGGCGGTACGTTGCAATAAAGGAATTTTAAATAGATAATTCCACAGCATGTTTTGTTAGGTATGGGTGCATATGAAATCGTTTCAACTATGGTCTTATTTCATAATTTTAGATTGATATAATTATGAACATTCAAAAACTGAAATACTCTTTTGTTGGCTTTTTTCAGGAAATTTTAGATCGTACATCAAAATAATATTTAGATACCCAAGTTTTGTGGTTTTTACATCATGAAAAATGATTTTTAATTTCAAGTTGAATACCTATTTGGGAAAAGAGGTTCAATGAATTATTGCTAGTCATGCTTTCTTGACTGTTTTTGTAAAAATTGACACTACACTATCTATCGACTTATTTTTAATACCGTTTCTGAAAAGTAATAATTGTCACCGACTTTTTTTTCTACTAAATTAACGTCCTTTATATTTACCAAGCTTGGGAATTGACCAACAACATGCCTTCACTCTGGATGTGGACGTACAAACGGATAGGTAAAATAGACTTTTACTGTATTATGTCAACTGAACTCATCAGTGCGATTTCTTATTCTAATATTTATTTTGACTCAACGTTCCAAATACCTACTACACAAATCTGATATTCAAGAACTTGTAAACTGCATGAAATGTTGATAATTTACTCTTCCAATATAAAAAAAATCAAATTGATTTAAATACTTACTTCAAAGTATTTAGCATTAAATTAGGCGGTTGTAACATGCTACTTTTCATAAACTCACTAGTGTTGTAATTCTTCACAAATATGTTTGAGAACTCTTTGTTTCGATCACTTTCCTTCCGAAAGAAGTCTAGGAAGTTAACCGTATGTATATGTAGACTGATGGAATGTCTACGAAGATATCAAGTATGAAGAATATCTTGAAATAATGCAAATAACCGATATAGTTGATAAATGGATTCCTTGCATTGTAACAGATATGTCTGCGATCAATCGTTGAAGACTTATTCAGTCATTAAAAAAAGTTAGGTTCAAATGTTACCTGGTAATCCAGTATAGTACCAATGAGTAGAGTAGAGCATAATGTGTCTGAAGTTGATACTCACATACACAATTACATAAATAAAAAAAAAAACGAATTCAAAAGCTTTAAAATACATCTATAAAAATCAAATGATTAACAACACTTGAATGAGGTATCAGAGTTGGCTGAACTAATACATTCGTAAATATCTCAGCAACAATGTTTCAGCAAGTTATTTTAATGAGTTTGAGTAATAGAGAACATTATAGAGATTGATATTAACTTTTGTTCTGCAGCAAAGAATCATGAATCAAGATTATGAGTGTCAGAGTTATTGGGTAACAATTTTATTTTTCATGAATTACCATTATTTCTGCCCTGAAATCAGTAAAAAATATGTAGACATTTTTTGTAAAACAGAAATGAAGTATACCGAAATAATCTATTATTTATCAAATGTGGTCCTGAAAAAGAAGGTGACAATTGGTTTTGACACGATAATACAGAAAAAATTTGTTACCAATTTTTTCTCAAAATTACAGCAGGATATAAAAATTCAAAGGTTATTTTTTGACCAACAATTGTTACAGGATTTTGGAAATATCAGTATTGACAGTTGCTTACCGTACAAACTTGTTTTCCAAACAGTGAGGTTTTTTGTCACCTAAGTATGTGTGCAACTGCTGCAATGTAAAACTTATCATTTTTTCCCTCACCAATCACCAAGAGTCAACATTGGAAAAGGTATAGTTGAAAAGAGTAGTTTGGGCAGTAAGGTGAACAACAGAAAGATAAAGTAAGTCTTTTATATTCTCAACCCGACTGAAGAATGAGGGAGAAGGTACCTGACTTTCAGAATCATTTAGATGTCCGATTGACATCTTGATATACTTATCAGGTCTTATAACCAAGGACTCAGAAACTTCAATTTGGTTCCCAAGTGATAAGGTTCCTAAATGTAAACGTAAAGATTGAATTGAGAGGCATTTAGCTTTCGTGATATGGGAGAATAACGACCATTGGACGGACTTGCACCCACATCAACGAGTATACTATGCGCAAGTGAAAAAGTGAGTGAGTAGTTATTAACTTACAATGATATAGAGCAGCTTTGATACTTTCACTGGCACACAAAAATGAACAACTTAGTATCTTCGACATTTTTTGTAGTAAAAGAGGTACACTCTCATGTCAAGTTCAGAAAATACCACTTCCTCTAAGATTTTTGAGATAGATGAAGTAAAATGTGGCATTCAGAAAAAATTAAGAAGTACGAGTATCTGGATTGGTGAAAAATTTTAAATTTTGAATTTTCATCTAGTCGAGCAAATTCCGTCGTTTATTTCTCCCTACTGCGAGTTCTTAGATGACGTCATAGTGCCGCCATATTGAATTTGGAGAAAATGGCGACTACGCTGCCATTCTGAATGGAAATGACCACAACACTTTTCACCGGTACAGATAAATGGACAGCACAGTATCATTGTTTGAGGTACACTTCGATGTCGAAGTTCAGAAAATACCACTTCCTATTTTCATTTTGAGATCAATGAAGTGGAAATTGGCATATAATAAAAGTCAGTAGAGAGTTTGTTGATAAGTGAAAACTTTCAATTGTTGACTTCTATTCGAAAACTGAGAAAATTTCGTCGTTAGTTTCTCCTTATATTGAGTTGTTTGACGTCATAGTACCGCCATATTCAAATAGAAATGGCCACATGTGTTATATCGTTGAAAAGAGAATTTTATATCCAATAAAAAAAAAATTGTGTACTATTTAAATTTTTTGACTTGGGTCCATTTCCGGTAAACTCTGCATAGATTAAGTCTTTCATTACTAAAAAATCAACTAGGATAAACTAAATTTTTATTATGAATTTCAAATTTCTCCCCTCATAAACAACTGAATGGCGCCATTTCCAATGGTTTCGTTGTTACCTGGTATATGAACATATTAAAAACAGCTACAACATTAAGTAATAGAATACATATGAAGTGAAATATAGTCCTGTACCAGCTTTCATTTAGTTTAACTTCACTCTATAAATAAACAATATTCTGTGACATATAATATTTCGCATGTTTGACTGACTAGTGTATGTCACCTGCTGCAGACTAATACCTACATTGGATCCCACTTCGCTTATTAGGTAAGAATTTTACTGTTTACTTTATCAAATGTACATTACTTCTGACCATGCTTTGACATCACATCCCTATTTGTAATCCCTTATGACATCTTGAACCTTAAAAACGTTCCCATGGCCTGCTTCAAATTTGGAAACTTCAAAAACAAGAGTATTTTCCTCTATCTAGAGTAATTCAAGGTTATGAAATTTTTATAATAACGAGAATTCAAAAGGGTACATAAAAAAGTTGTGTGTATATGAAAGAAACATTACAATTTATTAAAAACGTGTTAACCGTATACCAACAATAAAATATTTGAGATACATGAAATATATTGATATAAAATATATGAATCTTCTTCAGCAACATTCCACAATAAAAATAATTCAACGTCATCAGAAGAGAGTAATAACATTTTCAGTCTTATTTCTACGAAAAATTGAGGTAGGCCCCATGTTAAAAACCGTAAGGCATGCTGATATTGTATTCCCCCCCCCTAAAAAAATAAAATATTCATGTTTCACCCATTGTCAAAAATTTCCAACCAATAAGTGTTTGAACAAATTTCACTTATTCCAAATAATAATTGTTGAATATTTAGACAAACTACAATTAATTATAAGCTGAAACAAACATTCTATACGACTCAATATCCTTAGTAATCCATTAAGCTTCTCCCTTTGCCTTATCGATGATAACCCTAGAAATAATCATCCTCTGTATTTGTGACGTTCCTTCATATATCTGGTATATTTTAGCATCTCTCATCAATTTCTCAACAGGATATTCACTATTGAAGCCGTTTCCTCCGAATACCTGTACTGCATCTGTAGCGCACTTATTTGCCACATCGGATGCATAACATTTAGCGATAGATGCAGCCAAGGTATTTCTGATACCGTTATCAGTTTCCCAAGCTGATTTCATCCAAGCAAGACGAGAAGTTTCAACGCCAACAGCCATGTCAGCCAAAAGAAAAGCTATAGCTTGGTGGTTTGCGATGGGCACACCAAATGTTTTCCTTTCCGTGGCATATTTGGAGGCTTCATCCAAGCATCGCTGTGCCAAGCCTGTAGCTCCAGCAGCAACCTACGGACAAATTGAAAATCTGAGAACCAAAACAATATATAATTGGGTTGATGAAAGAATACATAATGCATCATCAATAACATTTGCAATGAAACACATAGTTAATGTTTGCGCTTGATATCAGATAGAGCTTTTGTTCAAATATAAGCTTAGACTCAGTGCATACAAACGTGAGTCATCGGCTATTTCTTAGATCTGTGACTTATTTGTTGACATATTACTATCGTTTGACAGTTTACATTGTTCAAATATCATTTATAGGAAAAGTTCCTATGATTTCAAATTTTTTATGCTACACAAATAGTTGTTCCTCACAACAAACAAACTGTGGGAATTTCATATTTATTATCATATTTATACATTTTTACCTCAAATGGTAATAAATGTCTAGTGTTCCACAAACTGAATTATTCAAATTAGCACAATCAATAAAATACTGACGAATTTTACGGAATTGACGCCAAATCGCAACACGAGGTTTTCATTATTAGTGTGAATTTCAAAAATAAAAGCAATTCTTCAAAAGGTTGGGCTGTCTGAAGAGATAGTCCATAGTTTCATTTTCATTATTTTGTCTATGTAAAGTTAATAAAATCTATTAGAAACCTTCTCATTTCTTCACTCATTAACTTATTCAATGAATGCATTGAATTGGGCATCTATCCAGACTCTTTCAAAATATCTAAATTCATCCCATTAAACAAACCTGGTTTTATTGATGATTGTGGAAACTATAGACCTAATAATATAATCCCAATCATCTCAAAAATATTTGAAATCATCTTGTCATAACGAAGATGATTTCAATATAAGTATATGGATTCTTAAGGTATTTTTGATTCTCCACAATATGGTTTTTGCACAAGTAAAAACACAGAAATGCAGTTCATGACCTGGCAAATACTGTTGTGTGCGAATAAAAAAATGGAAGCTTTCTGGGAATCAGTTTGTACTTAACAAAGCATTTGACTGTTTTCCGCCACATTCCTCATACCAAGCTAGAACACTATGGTTTCAATTTTTCAAGTTCAACTTTCAATAAATCTTACCTAAATGATTGAATTTAGAGTATCTATTGTAATTATAAATTTTCGGAAGCAGGTGCTGTCACCGTGGGAGTGCCACAGAGCTCAAAAATTATATTATACTTATATTTCATATTATATAATTCTCAAGTCGTTACTACTTATTTGCTCGTGGACATGTAAAGTTGCTGAAATATAAGAATCAGAATTGAAAAAGTTGAAGTTGCAAAAGAAAGATTCACCATGAACAACCAGCTTCATTCCATCATCCTTCTTGGAATAGTAGGGAAAAAATAGCAAACATTGGTGAGACAAGTCTATTCAGTTATTGAAAAATATAGGATTGAGAAGAAAGACGAAACAGAAAATGCGCTATAGAGTTTTCAAGAAAATATCTTTCAAGCAGTTTTGCCTTCTTTTTTGGATGAAATCTGATTATTTTCTAAATAACCTAAAATGAATTTGGTAAAATTATAAAATATAATTGATCAGACATAATGACAAGGTTTGGATCAGACATAGTGACAAAGTTTGGATAAGACATAGTGACAAGGTTTGAATTAGGCATAGTGACAATGCTACCGAAGGTAAAATCTATATATACAACTCTGACAGAATACAGGATTTTGTGAAAGGCGCAGAACTAATTAATTTGTATCTGATGCCAATAACCGATGAGTCAGTGACTAAATAAGAAATGTAATCAAAGTTTAGAACTGACTCTGCTAGTTATAATACTTATTTCCACTTCTGTGCATTAATACATATTAAAAATGATCATTTCTAAGTAATATTGCGTCTCAAACATATGTATATAGTTTCAGCTGTTTAGCATGTTTAATTTATTTGAGAGAAGAATAAAAGTTAGAAATGTTTTCTGTTTGTCAATTTTCTGCTATCAAAAAAAAATATCAAAGAATTTGCATCAAATTTTGGGTAAAAAATGGAATAAAGTGCTCAAAAACACTTGAAATGATGACAATGGCATACGGTGATTGTAGTCCGAGTCAGAATTTTTTGCAAATGGTACAAGCTTTTCATCGAAGGTCGAGAAGATGTGAATGATTATGCTCACCCTGATGAAAATGTTGGGAAAGCAAGAAAAATTGATATGGAGAATCGTCGAATCACTATTAGAGATGTTGCTGAGGATGTCGGCATATCAGTCCAGCTTTTCTTAAAAAGTCATAACTGATGATGAATCATGGGTAAAATTGGTAACAAAAAAAACCCTCATATCTTCACTGTACAGACATCCACAACTTGAATATTCAATATAAAAGTATGCTTGCAAAGCCAAAATTCAAAACAGAAGTTTTCAGATAGTCTTTTGGTACCATATTTGTTAATACTATAATTTTGTCCCTAACTCCCTAACAATTAAATTTCACAAATTTCAAAACTGAATATAAAAACTATTTGGTCGACTAAAATGAAAGTAAATTATTGATATCTTGTAATGAATATGTCAACTAAGCTCTTTAGGTGAGGTGTTTGTTTGTATTTATATTATATCATTATATATGAATATTACTGGAGTTCTATTCCAACACCAAACCATTATTATCAACACCTCGACACGTGTTTCAATCACCAAGTGATCATCTTCAAGAGGAAGATTAAACTAAATCTACATACAATGTTGTCGTTATTTATACCATAGATATCTCTGCTAGGTACCTGCGTCTTAATTGTCCTAAAATTAATTTTACAATGTTGCCTAATCTACTAGTCAGGTAAATCTGATAACTAAAAATACTTATTTCAACAAACTATATAGTAAACCTGCTGCCAAACACCTCTCCATTACACAGAAAAAGTGCATTCGTGCCATGTTTTGCAAACCCCAAACAGAATCTAGTAGACCTCTCTTTAGAAAGCTACAAGTATTACCCCTTATTTCTCTTTACATATTGTAACTGCTGTTTGTAAATGTAACTGCTTGTTACATTTACAAACGTAGAAATACTTTGCTCTGTCGTAATGACATTCACGGTCGTTCCACCAGGAATCAACATTTGCTGAATACTCCTCAAAACAGATTGAACCTAGTGCAAAACGGTCCTCTAAGCATCGAAATTCGAATATTTAATAAAATTCCCCAAAACATCAAAGAGGAACCTACCTATTTCAGATTCAAGAAGTCACTGAAAAAAGTACTAATTGATGGTGCATTCTATGCTTTGGAATAATTTTTTAGTACATATATAAATCACTGATAGTATTTATTGTTGTACTCTGTGTAATTGCATATTTTACGTTGATATTTAAATTATAGTGTACTTTGTCTGTACTTATACTTATCATTTTAACATTTAACATAATCTCTCTAATCCAAATTTTTGACATGTCTTATGCCACTTGTGGTCTTCAGATTAATAATAAATTTGATTTGATTTGATAAACTATTAGGTATTGGTCCACCACCGTTATTCATAATATTCAGTTCTATTTTTGTTTTTTTTTTCTTCTTTTTTGTAATTTTCAGGGTTAAGTAGAAGAACATTTACCTTGATATATTTCATTAAGGATGATAAACTTCGCCCTTTATTTTACTTGATAGTTTATCACAAACAAAACAAAAACTCAACATAAGTTATATATTAAAACGATATTATTATTATATGGTTTTGACATTGAAACCAAAGTCCATTCGTCCCAATGGAAGAGCCCTAAATTGTGAGCAAATTATAAAAGACTGCAGAATCTTCTCTGATATGAGAACTCTATGAAATGGTTGTGAGAAATACTTGAATATCTAGGTCTCTATCATCCAACACAGCTAGTAAAAGTCCTTTCTTAAAAAACTTCTGGCTTTCTACATTGATGATTGTACCAAAGCAGACGACACAATGAAATTTGAAAAGGTACAATGTTAAAATCTGATATAACAAAGGTTCCAATATCAAATATGCTATTCCAGATGTTATAATGAGAAGGTGATATAGTGTTAGCAATTTTAGTATGTTATCAAGAGCTTGGAACATATCTAAAAAGAAATATTTTCTGTCATTTTTATCTAGAAAAACTAGAATATTCAGAATACAACACTTTTCTGGATGTCAAGTGACACTGAATAAAAAAATAGAAGTTTTGTTATTATGTACAATAAGAAGCTCTCAAAATGTAATCGTGAATTCTAACTATGGAATGAAAAAAATTCGTAGAAAACAAGAAAATCACAAGTGTATTACTGTATTCCATTCAAGCTCTTACCACAATTTTTTGTTTTATTTTTCACCACATTCAAATGTTTCAGTTTGGTGAACATGTCAAGTTCAGAAGCAGATACGCTTCTACCGATGACCTACTGAAAAAAATTTAGAAGGGTCACCAAGTATTAAAAGAATGATAATTAATTTCGAACTCAAACATGTATTGGCATGCTAAGCCGAATTAGGACCTGCAGCGTAAAATTAATTTGTTGAAAACACTTCTCCCACATCAGAACAAAAATACTGTCACTCAATACACATTTCTCTAACCAGGGTAGCATTATAAGAAGATGACTGCGACTTAGTCATCTTCTTGGTTAGTAAAAGGAGCGTCGAGATACAGTATTTTTGTTTTAGTATGAGAATAGTGTTTTCTATAGATGTTTTGGCATATTTTTCAACCATGAATAAAATTGGTGGCAATTGAGAATGCATTTAAAATCAAAACATACGTAAGTTTTTGTGAAATTACTCACAAAATACTTCAAAGTAGATGCAAAATAATAATTGATAATAGATAGATATTAATTCTAACTAACTTCAATTTGTTTCTTAGAATCTGATAGTGATGCTTTATTCTTGAGAAACATTACTTGTTTACGATAGAGAATTATAATGTTGACTCTAAAGAGGAACTTCGGAAACTATCTGAATCATAATGCTCCTAAACGTCTTCTCCAAGATCTTTGTTGCAACAACCTCTTGCTTACATAGAATAGAATATTTCGAGGTATTCATTCAATGAACATACATAGGTTTTTCTCCAAAATCTCAGGCGTCAAAGTGACAATCAACATTTTTCTATTTCTCAATAATTGCTACAGAAATAAAATTTGTCCAACTGAAAAGTGAATATCTTTATTTATGAATCATCATTCTGTAATGAAAAAATATGTTTTTTTTATATGCAATAGGGTCATTTCTTCAATGGTGTTCCAATTTACAATAAAGGGAGCCAACAGTAGAGTTACAGGTGAGCAGTCACTAACCGCATGCCGTGCGGTTGTTCCAAAAATGATGTACCCTGAATAGATGCAAAGAGCCAATGATGACGGCCTTATGCGATTGTGCGGTTTAAGTCAACTTTCTATCTCTGACAAATAAAATAAAAACGTTCAAATCTCAAAATCAACTTACCGGTGGTCTTGTTTTGTCAAAGGTTGCCATAGCAATTTTGAATCCGGAACCTTCACCAATGAGAACATTTTCTTTGGGAATTCGTACATCCTCAAAGGTTATTCCCCTCGTGTCTGAGGCTCTTTGACCCATATTGATTTCCTTAACAGATCAAAAACAAAATTATCAAATTCAATGATACGAAACATAGAATCGCTATACAACTCACACATTTCATCTGACGACAATTTATCACAAAAGTTAGTTGACTATTGTTTTTATACATTCATTTGTCGAATACTACCAATGAAAATCTACTTTCATATGAACATCGAATTACATAAAAAAAGATTTTTTGAAACAACTACTTTCATAACAAATGCTTGGAGTGAGAACTAAATAGGAAAAACTAATATTGGTATAATTCAATGATCAACTTGTTTCCAGTGGGATTTTTTCCAGTTTATATCTGAAAGTAACTTCTATGCGTGACCTACAAATATTCATTATTGAACTTGAATATATTCTTTCTTCCTTCAGGAGTTTCCACTATTTTTGTATAAAGATAAAGAAGTAAAAAGCTAAAAAGCTATTTTTCCAAAAAATGGTATTTCCAAAAAAATATACCCCCTTTGATTTAAACATTTTCTAAGTTATTATTGTAATATTTCGTTTTAATTTACTATGTACTTTCACAATGAATAATAATAGGATTTGTCTAACAATAAATAAGTACATTGACAACTGAATTAACATGATTTGTAAGTGCACAAACATAAAAAATAGACTTGACCTGAGAGAAAGAACATTGACTTCGATGAGAAAAAAGAAAGATTAGTAGTAAACTTTGTCACTATGTGTTACATGTTTTAAATTTTCGGTATTGACGGTTTCGTCATTTGCATTTTTATATCATAACCTTGGAATATGTGCACGTTAAACATTTCAAACTATTCAATTGATCCGTCATTCTTCATATCCTTCAGTTGAACTCTAACATTAAATTAATTCTCAAATTGGCAAAATATTAGTTTAGCACTGTTTCATTCACCGCTCTGAATTAAGTTCACTATGCAGTAACTCTTTGGATTTCTGAAAAAAGTTCTGAAATCTGTTTGCAAAATATGTGGAAAATTTCCATAGAAAAGAAGAAAGCAAATTAAGTTCAAAATACACTTTTTACAAAGACCATGCACAAAAAATTCTTTCAGATATAAACTGGAAGAAAAAGCTCATTCCAAACAAGAACGTTCAAATGAACATTGAATTATATGAAAATCACTTCTTATTCAGTCTGTACTTCAACATTTGTGAGGAAATTGAAACAGATATCATTCACAGGAAGGTTACACAGCATAATATATGAAAGACATTGATTTAAAATGTCACATACACGGATATCCATCATCCACAATGTGTACTTCTCGAAGTTTCAGATCAAAAACACAAAGAGTTGATTTTGATCTCAATTGCTTTCTTCCTTTCTTCGGAAAGTTTCCACATTTTTTTGCATAAAGATGGAGAAGTAGAAGGCTACAAAGCTTTTGGTAAAATAAAGTCGTAATACGATGGTGGTCTGAAAAGTTTCCTACCTCAACATGAAGATAGCAGCAAAAGCTAGTGAATTTCATTGTTCATCTGTTGACAGTGACTCACCAAAGTTTCAGCCATTTTGGAAGGACAGTTGTTATGTAACAGTCGTTTGAGTGGACAAAATCGAGTATTGAGCTGTAATTAAATATATTTTTTCATGGCAATACGCCTACTCAAATCAAAGATGAGTTGGATTCTCAGTATGGGGACTCTGCACTATCATTCATTACAGTAAAATTTTGAGCAGCTGAATTTAAACGTGGCCGTAAGAGCTTGAGAGAGAATGAACGTTTGGGACGTCCTAAAACTGCAACTACCGACGAAAATATCTCCAAAGTTCACCAAATTGTGCTAGACGATCGCCGAATCAAAGTGAGAAAGGTAGCAGAGGATATGAACATGTCAATTTGTCACATATTAAATCAAAATTTAGGCATGAGAAAGCTGACCGCGTCTTGGGTGCCGCGATTGTTCACGTTAGACCAAAAACGTGTTCGAATGAACATTTCCAACGCTCTGTTGGCGCAGTTTAGGCGCAATAAATTCGAGTTTTGGCGCCGAATAATTACTGTAAATGAAACTTGGATACACCATTATACGCCTGAAACAAAAATACAATCCAAACAGTGGACTGCAAAGGAGGAACCAGCTCCAAAAAGAGCAAAAACTGTTTTTTCGTCTGAGAAAGTGATGACGACTGTGTTTTGGGATAGTCATGGGGTTATATCAATTGATTATTTTCAAAAATGAAGAATACTTACAGGAGCATACAACGCACCATTACTTGACAAACTGAAGGCAGAACTTGCGGAAAAACGGCCACATTTGCAGAAAAAGAAAATCCTGTTTCACCAAGACAACACCTCAGCAGTTGCCATGGCAAAAATGCACGAATTACGGTTTGAACTGCTTGGCCATCCACCTTACTCATGAGATCTAGCCCCAAGCGATTTCTTTTTGTACCGTCATTTGAAAACTGTGCTCGGAGGACCGAGATTTTCGTCAAATGAAAAGGCAATAACCTCCGTGAATACTTATTTTGCAGAGAAAAACGCCGAGTACTATTTGGATGGCTTACAGAGATGGGAGCAACGCTGGGAGAAGTGTATAAAGTTAAAAGAAGACTAGGTTGAAAAATTAAAAAAAAATTGAAAAAATGTCTTGTATCTTTGTTAGGTCGAAAACTTTTCAGACTATCTTAGTATGTGTGAAAAATATAAAGATAGATCTTCCCTAAAAAATATCTCTTTTTCAATTTATGTTTATGAAAGTTCTCAAAATCTTGTATTAGAGTGGCTATGTAAAAATAAAAAACTAATATTCTTGATTGAAAAAAAAGTGTAGATAAGTAGAAATGAGAAAGATGTTTTGTATTTCGTATTTCGTATCTTTACTACTAATATGCTGTCCTCAAGAGATGGTATATGAAAGTCAAATGATGGGGAATTCATATTATCAGTTCGTTTTGGCACTCAACACTTTCACTGATAGCTCTAAGTACTGAGACATGAGAAATTTACAAACCTTTCGACCTGGCGTCACACCATCCCATTCTCGTTCTACGATAAATCCTGTGAAAGCTTTACTAGATGGTGCCTTGGGATCGGGATTGGTACGAGCCAATACAAAATACCTGTAATTACAGTTCTAAAATTATGTTACGAACCTTACTCAATGATGTATTAAAAAAAATTTATTGGAAGTGTTTTTTTTTATTGAATGTGTTTATAAATGAACAAATGAAAAACAACTGATCACAGTTATTATTTTAGACCAAAGAAAAAAAATCAATTTTCCTAACTTCAACATATTAGATACTGGCGTTCAGCCACGGCTCCGCACGGGTGCAATGCTGATACTAAATATACATATAAACGCGTGCGATCGCTGCTATTCATAAAGTGCTATAGGGCGAAGCGTGGCCTTCATAGTGCTATTTATAGGCACGCGCCGCCGGCCCCCAGGCCGGTACCGCTGTAACCGGTATGTCTGGATTTTAAATCTGTAATATCTTTGAAAATATTCATTTAAATTACATGCTGAAAAGGGTCATATTGATCTATATTGAATGCACAATGTATTCAAGGTACTTCATTGAATAAGGATTATAGCTGTATTGCTTAAAATCGCTTCGTAAAAAAATAAAGGGTGAAAAATGGTTATTGTGGGTTATCCCTTGAAGAGAGACATATACCATCGGAGACTTTTTTGTAGACATTTTTATGGTGTACAATACTGTAGTACATTTTTTGATTTATCTCGTTGGGTTCAGCCAGTTTTTGCAATGTAAGTGCAAAAAAATGTGTTTATTTACTCTAAAGTTATCAGTGTTTCTGTATTATATATGTTATATTAAAAAATAAACCACATAACATATATATGATAATATACATATTAACTTATCTCTTGAATCACTCTACCTATTAAAAAATCCCGCATCAAAATCCGTCACGTAGTTTTAAAGATCTAAGCATGCATAGGAACAGACAGCAGGAAGTGACTTTGTTTAATACTATTTATTACACCAGGGTCAATAATTTTTGAAACAAAAAAAACAGTAGGATGAAACCCATAAGGAAAGGAGGGGAATATCACAAAAATGAAAGAAAATATAAATTACGGGCGATCTGAGTTCGGGAAGTGAGAGGGGGTGAGTTTTTAAGGGTAAAAAATGGTTTATCTTGATTTCCGACAAAACTACAAGTCCTATGGAAAAAAAGTTGAATGGCAAAGTTGTAGGTAATAAAAAGATCTACAACTTTTGTATCTATAATTTCTTTTATTCAGTTAAAAAGTTTATTTATTAAATTCTAATTACATTCAAATCAAAGAAATTCTCATAAAATATAAATATACATGTAAATCGTACTATTGAATTTAGATACTTCATTCTGATTACGTTATTATTAATTTTTAAAAACGTTAATCTTGTTATTTATCTTGAATTTTAATCACTTATCCATTAGTTTTTGTCTATTTGATGGCATTTCTTCATCGTTAGATTCGACAAAACTTTCCAATTCTAGTTGATCTTCGAAATTTTCAAGACCACCACCTTCTTCGTCTCCAATATTATTTCCAGTCTGCATTAGTTCTTCATCCACAATTTCATCTGAATCATTAACTTCCATATTGGAGCAATTTTCAGAACCATGACAATTTGAACATAAATTTGTGCATTTTTAACCACTTTTTCGACAGCCACATTTTAAACTGTTACATCCAGTTTCACAGCTGCAGCAAAATAGTTTTAAGCAATATTTCCGGAAATATTTCCTTTTCTGTAAATTTGGGCATAATGCCACGTTGATGTTGCTTCCAGACCCATTCTGTTGCTGTCAGTTCGTTACCTTACCAAGTTTGAAGCTGATAATATGCCTAGTTACAATGTTGTTCTGCTGCTCCTTCTGTGGGTGGGTGGAAGGTTTGCCAAAATGAAAGATGATTTAATTTTTGCCAATCGACATTTTTGAAATCTTAATTGATTCAGTGTTATTTTTTCATTTTTACATTTATAAAATATATTTGACAAATTTTTTTTTGCAACTAATTTTTCTTTATTTTCAGTATTTTAATATTAATATATGTTACAAAAAAGATTTGAAGCACTATAACTCCTATTTAATTATATGCTAGCGCTTTCGACAGCTGGTCGTGCTATCATCATCAAGGCTCTACTCAAACTAAACATGTCAACCTGTTGCTTGTCCTTTTATGGGGTCCGAACGCCTTAGTGCAGGTACTTCAGGTAAATTTGTCTGTATTTGGGTCACATCAGGTAATATTCTTTGTGTTGGTTCTTCTCTAGGTTTACTGTTTCTAGGAGTATGTATTGTATTGTGTAATATATTGAATGTTAGGTCTTGTGTTTCGATTTGTATTTGTTCCTCGATAAGTGAATTATGACTGTTAAATTTATGGATGTTTAAGTTTTCTCAGATATCCATATGGTTTCCCTTATTGATTTGTTTTGTGAGTTTTATGTTCTTGTTTTTGGTTTTGCCGATATAGAATTTGTTGCAGTCCGAGCATTGTATGATGTACATATACCCAATAGAGAACCAGAACGGATACATCAAAAGACAATAGGATAAATTAGAAAATAGGATCAAGCCACTCCAACATGTTCGCTGTTACACTTGAAGATGACAACAGATGCAAAAATAGCTCTGCAACTACTTTTACTATTTCTAAGTGCTGAATCAGCTCTGCTCAATCAGCATCCTTCAAGTGTGTTGTATTCTGTCCTATATATTGTAGTATTCAATTACAGCTCTTACATAACACATAAATAAACAATAATATAATTGATTTTTTCTATAATAATACACTTATATGCCCATAATCCGTTTCATAATAAGGTCCATTATGATACAGATTTTTCATAACAATACAGATTTTTAATCAATAGAAACCCATAATTTTTCAATCAAGCATGCTATGTCCTAGATTCCTATCTAATTGTTTTATATGACAAAATCAGTAGGTATTAAATTTTCATAGAATATAGCTAAAGTTCGATAACTGTATTATCAAAATGTCTGATATCAGCAATATTTTTTAATGAAAAACGCCATCTTCTGTACCGAAGAATTTCTGCACTAAAACTCACAAAACAAATTAATAAGGGAAACCGTATGGACATCTGAGAAAACTTAAACATCCATAAATTTAACAGTCATAATTCACTTATCGAGGAACAAATACAAATCGAAACACAACAAGACCTAACATTCATTATATTACACCAAACAATACATACTAGAAACAGTAAACCTAGAGAAGAACCAACACAAAGAATATTACCTGATGTAACCCAAATACAGACAATTTTACCTGAAGTACCTGCACTAAGGCGTTCGGACCGCATAAAAGGACAAACAAGAAGTTGACACGTTCAGTTTGAGTAGAGCCTTGATAATGATAGCACGACCAGCTATCGAAAGCGCTCGCATATAATTAAATAGGAGTTATAAAGCTTCAAATCCTTTTTGTAACATATAATAATATTGAAAAAAAATTGATTAATTGTAATCATTTTTTTTATATATATTCTTTACTTGCATCTTTCTTATAAAAAACATTAGCCAAATTTCACAAATTTTTAGCATCTAATAATGAATTTACGATACTTTTATTTTCTTTTCCTGCAAATCCAGATTTTGTATTGCAACCGGAAAAATAATGCAGAAATGCAACAATATTTTTGAAGGATTCATGTTTGAAACTATTAGACGTGAAAAATATATCCTTTACATTTCCAGAACCTGGTTTGAGAAAATAAATGTCATGATTAACAGGAAAACCCTTGTAACTGTAATCTTTTCATTAAAGTTTTCATTATTTTATCCTTGTTTTTCTAGTTAGATAAAAATTTTTTTTCAAAAATGATATTTTTGTATGATTTTCAGAATCAAACTCTGGAATATTGTCTGAGGTTTTTCTACAACTACGTTCTCCTCTTTTAGTTGAAGTAGCTGTTGGTACTGTTGTGACAGTAACTGATTTTTTAATTTCGGGGTACCCATCAAACACAATATAGCTGCTTGCTGCGTAATGTTTTTCTATATAGTGCAATTATTTATTTATGATCTCTTTTGCCGTTTCATTTTTCTGACAAATTACTTTGTGCAGTAAAAATCCACCGTAGACGAAATTCACTATGCCGTCAGAATACGTTGGTCTATTCACACTCACAAATAATTCGTAGAGTTGAGATTTTATATTTTTCCTGATGCCATTTTCTGTAAAAAGTGACGGTGGAAAAGGTTCAAACTCGTATTGTAAATAAGATTCCATATCTTTTTTACTATCTACAACCTTCTCAAAATATTGTAGATGTCTTATTGAATATTAACTTTTTTAACTTATTTGTTTGTTGATTATAGTAGTATATTTCGATTTGCAATTTTTTCGTTTATCAAAGTAACGTGGAATTTTACGTTTTTTGAGTAATTAAAGTTTTAATAAATAGCTCAAAATTGTATATAATGATTGAAAACATTTTTAGAATTCGAATGTTTTTCGATTTTTTTGCATTTTCTGAAAACATTTACTACAGTAATGTTTTTTTTTACACCATCAGAAAGTAGAGATTTCAACGAAGAAAAAAGCACACCGACTTTTTGAAAAAAGCTGATATTTTGATTAAGGTGCTTTTTTTAATATTAAGTCAAAATAAGGTGAAAAAATAAATATTTTAAATCAAATAAATTACAGTGTATTTGGGACAAAAGGTAAGTTTTCACCAAATTTCGTAGAAACATTTCTTTGAAAAAAATAAAAAACCAAAAACTTGGTCTATTCGACACACTCACTTTGGACTAAACTAAGTAACATCTTCCTCTTGAAGATGATCACCTGGTGATTGAAACACGTGTCGAGATGTTAAAAATAACAGTTTGGTGTTGGGATAGAACTGCAGTAATACACACCAAAGGTTCCAAATAGTGCATCACAAGCTTCCAATATCATTCAAAATAAGGTACAATCTGCTTACCTTGTTATTCCTATAAGATACAAGATATCTCGAAGTAAATAATGGTTCATGTACATTTAAAAAGCGCCAACGCTGTACATTACAAAAAAAAATAAGATAGCAAGAAGTTTTTTGAATAACGCACGTCATATTCGAGTTCAACCTTTAGTGGAGAAGGTATATTATTAACCCACCTAGTTTTGTAAAAAAATTCAGTGTTTTGAAAAAAACGAACCTTTGAATTTGAATAATCTGACATCCTGCCATGCTGGTAGAACTGCCACAAAAAATAAACCACACACAATTCAAGTATTTTATACTTACTGTTGTTCATGAACATGCAAAGACAGTCTCATAAGGGCATACTTTTATTTTGTTAAGGACACCTCATATTCACACTGTTAGCACCTCTTTTCCTTTTTACAGGTTTCCTACATGGATTTAAAGTCAACTAATGTCTTAAATAATTATATTTAGATTTTAACCTTATAATAAAGTAATTTTTTTTATAACTAAAATAATTATGATCGAATCTTTTGAATGAACAGCTATCCAACATGAAATGTCAAATGGGGTATGATATTCCATAGATTACTTTCGGATCTACTATTTCAGTAAATAATAACTTGTATCTGTTCAGTTTTGACAAATACAAATAAAAACCAAACTCCTTTCAATAATCAAGATCCTAAGTTCAGAAAAATGTTTACTTACCAGTTAGCTACACCCCCATTAGTGATCCACATTTTTTGACCGTTCAAGATCCATTCGTCCCCTTTTTTTTCAGCTCGTGTTTTTATACCACTGACATCGGAACCCGCACCTGGTTCTGTAACACAATAAGCTGCCACTACCGGTTCTTCAATACACCGACCTAAGTATTTTTTCTTTTGTTCATGATTTCCAGCTAAGAGGACAGGTGTTTGCTGAAATTGATGAAATATTTGTTAGAGCACTTTTATTTAATAATGTGATTTTTTTTTCATTTCCGGTCCCACCTTTAATTTTACTCACCCCCAATCCATTTGCCTCAAGTGCAGTCATTATACCTGTACAACCATATGCTACTTCTTCAGCTACCAGGCATCCATCAAATACTCCAAATCCCATACCACCTTGTAGAAAAAAATATTGTATATGAACAATTTTTATACAGGTACATCTCAAAAAATAATAGATATGCCGCTAATGTTATAAGTTAAGAATAATACATGGCCTTTTATTAAAAAAATATGTTCAATAAGTACATCTTCACATTCTGTTCAATTTTAACAGCAGGAGAATCGGCAGGAGAGCTACTTCTTGCTATTAACAAAGAACCACTATACAATAATGAAGTATATATAGAAAGATTTATTATCAAAAGATTTTACATATTAGCATTCATGTTAATTAATGACTGTTCAAAATTGTCAAAAAGTAAATAATGAATATGTTATCTACGAAATAACCAAAATACCTCAATTATTGAGAAAATCATTAATTGTTAGATATCAAGTGACCAATAATTTTCTCAATAGTATCTGTACTTTGCAGAAATAATCATCTTCTTTCAATCATTAACCATTTGTATATTTTTTTGTTCAGTTTAATATTTTTGAATTACATTAAGATTTTGTTGTTTCCATTATTCTTTGAAAAAAGATTTATCAAACATTCATCATATTAGTACTCATACCTAAAACTCAATTTTGAATTGTCACTTTTTAGATGTTTGTAACATTTTTTTAAAATAATGCTATACAGCAGCATGCAATTTTCCAAAAATGTATTTACTGGTATAGGTATGTTGACAATGTAATAGCTTGTTTCACAGGAACATATAGACAATTACAGTCATTTTTCCAATAGATCAACTCAACCCAGAAATAAAAATGTTTGTGAAAATTGTGTTATTAATTTTCATCAGTCAGTCCATTCATAATTTTTCAAGAAAGCAGTTTACTATTCAGAAATATATTCTAGTGGTTTTTCAAAGAATAAAAAATATTTCAAATATTCCCCCTTCCTCTTGAAACCAAATCGGCGCCGGTTATTTAACGCAGTTATGGTATTCGCCTGAAAAAATTATTTATCTGTCTTTCAATTGTTACACCATTTGTAAATTTTACAATAAGATTAACAATAACATAACATTAATACTAACATGGCTTATAATTAACATGAAAAAATAAGGCTTCTTAATCTTTTATTGATTACATATGCTAAAATATTCTAACTCAGAAAAATTATTCATAACAATAATTATTCAATAAGGTGGCACATTATAACCCAAAATACTGGAGGATTTCATATAGTTTTTTATCATTTATTAAATTAAAAAAATCTCAGAATACTGTCTGTGGTCCTATGCCTGGTCAAACCAAAAGCTACTTAATAAATATATAAATCAAAAATAGAACGATTAGTGGATTCACACTCCAAAAAGGGGGCAAGCTGCGGACACTTGTTTCTGGCTATTGGCCTCATCTGCGCGGTGCAGCTAAGTGCAAAGATGGGCAACACTTGTTTGCCGAAAATAAGAAACAACACATACGCACGAAGTTCCTTCACAATAAAGGAATTTGTCGTTGTTTTATAATACCCAATTTTAAATTTTATTGCTTTGTTTTTAAATGTGCTCGTCGACATAACTCAGATGTACTTATAAGATATAAATATTTTTTATAAAAAAAATCCTTGTTCTATGAATTGTAAGCATTTATTGTTTATGTAAATATTAATAGATGCCTGACATATGCTAATTTTATTAAAATGTATGTATTGACTTGTGTAAATTTTGATGAATGTATAAAACACCAATAAATTATCTATTTATCTATCCATCTATAGAAGAATTACTATCAACTCCTCCAAACATATCGGAGAAAGCAGAAAATACAGTACAAAATATTTTAACCCAAAAAATCTAAGAAAGTGTACCAAAAACTATATTAACAGTTCATGGACTGGAGAAATACAAATAAAATTTCGACATTCTCCCAAAAATTTTTGATTGCTCATTTTCAAGAACTGTGGTAAAACTATGAAATCATCCAGTACATGGACACATTATTCAATAATTGAATCGTTGGTAAATATCAACCATAATGTAGACATTTCTAAATATGAGAAGCTTCAAGCTTTATTAAAGTGAAACTCCGAACGATATGTTGAAGAAAAATGAAAAATATTTTCACCTAAACAAATAAAAACGTTCATCGACAAAGCGCCTGATAAAAATTTTTATTTATAACAGTAAGTATCTAACCAACATTGCATTTTTTTACATTTTTCTCATATTACATGATATATTTCATTGATTTTGAGAAAACTTAGTATAGTATATACGAAGTCAATTCGAATGACATATAAACTAAATAGTTACCGAACGTCGGCAGTTTCTTTGTAGGGCATGGACGGCGTGGTATAATTTTTTGTTCAATTATTATTTTTATGTGGGAGGTTTTATATGGTATTAACTAGTAAATGTATCAGTCCCAGTACATGAGTCTTTTATTAAGCTATTCAGATTGACTTTGTAAAGACTATAACTTGTGACGGAACAGGCTTAGGCACTAGATTTGAACCAGACTATATTATGAGACGCGGGTTTGAAGCTAACGTATGTTATTTTTGTTTTTTTTGCTTTAGATAGCAATAATTTATGGAATAATGTGGTAGAAACTGAAACAAAAGTACAACGAACATTTACAATTACCAGCAAATACTACGAAGTTAGTAAAAAATATATAAATCTATAGCCGAAATTTTGCCCCATCCCATTTTATTCGTTATTTAATTCAAATTTATATACAATGCATTGTTGGAAATCCAATTCAGTGGTGATAGGATACATTGAAAATTCAGTTCAGAATGAAATCAGCATTTCCAAAACAATATTGAAGTCAATTTAGATAGGCGATATTGTTAAATTAATTTTTATATAGCTGAAAATTGTTTTATATACAGCTATAACATTTAAACATATATTGTAAAATAATAGATAAGGCAAAATTGTGAAATTAATTTAGGGTGGTATACCTGTATGAGTGGTACACCTGTATGGTATATCTATATGTTTAGCATAAATAGCGTTAGCTTCGTATTAGTTTCTAATCTTTCTCTTGAAGATGATCACTTGGTGATCGAAACACGTGTCAAGGTGTTCAAAATATCGATTTGGTGTTGGGAAAAAACTCCAGTAATATTCATTACTACACCAAAGGTCCCAAACAGTGCATCATAAGTATATAATATGTATAGTTTTCCTATATCCATGGTAATACCATTAATTACAATTTTGTAGAATTTTTTGAAGAAATACGAGTAATTACTGTTATTGTGTTCAATACAAATATAAATATACTATTTACAGTTTTTTTTGTCAGGTGTAGAAAAATAGTGCATGCAACTCTCATGTAATGGTTATTACACACTCGCATAAACCATACGGTCGTTGCATAACTAATAGATAAGTCACAGTACACCCCTGCTGAGATATATGGAGATCTATGTTCATGTATGTAAGGCATGGTGATTCCAGGATAAACAATGAAATTCCTTTTTTTATGAAAAATCTAAAATAAAACTTTCTATGTTTTTTTACCACTAGTTTTGCGTGGATCATTCTTCATAGATTTATTAGATGAAAGCAGCTCTGCCTGGTGCTTTGTTTCTGTTTTCATCTAGTTAACTTATATCAAAAGCTGCAGAAAAAAATAGAAAGCGACAATAGACCAACCTAAGGTTTTTTTTTTGGATAAGCAAGGTTTGAATTTTCTATTAATCCTTTAGTGGTGATGCCCATATTAACTCATTATGGAGTTAAAAAAATATTTATATTTGTCTAAAAGTGCTAAACGAACACACAAGCAATATCGAATCTACCTTGCCTTACCATATTCTTCCGGAACATGGCCATTCATTAAACCCAAAGCATGAGCTTTTTTGAGTATCTCCCACGGGTACTTTCCAGTACGATCATGTTCAGCTGCCACTGGAATAATCTCCTCCCTAGTAAACTTTCTAGCCAATTCCTGCATTTCCTTTTGAGTTTCACTGAGTACTGAAAGTGAAAGCTAGGTTGAATATAACAAAAAAATGATGTGAAACTTTTTTCTTCTAATAAGTTCTGATAGCATAATTATTGATGCAGAAAATGCAAGGGTAAAACAAGAGATCAGCAAACAAATCTTGATTACAGAGCCCATTTGTGATTTTAATTTTTTTTTTTAATACTTGAAGGAATATTGATTTATTTGAAACAATTTCCTGAAGTAGAACTGAACAGTTCTTCACGTCAACATTTTAACATGTTCTGTTATTAGTTGTGAACTAGAGCCTAAACACAACAAATTTATGATTCAACACCAGACAAGCGCTGTTTCAACCCGCTACATATAAGGACAGAAAATCAATTTACAACAACAAAAATATAGATTGAGAGTTTATTTGATATCCTGATTAGTAATGTTATAAAAGGCTATTTAAGTACTCAAGACTTTAAATATATCAAATAAACAATGCTTTAATATTTAGGTAAACTACAGTAGGTACAAGAGACTTAACATGAAACAAATACTAACAACAAAAGAAGGAAATGAAAAAAAGCTTGGGATATATGTTAGCAATATCTTTTGATTGCATTGTTCATGTTCTTAGTGGTGCTAGGCTGAACCACCAATGCATTGCTGGACTCAACTGTCCTTATAGGACAAGCCTAAGTAATCATCTACTGAAACCATTAACATTTTTCCTAATTGAGCTTGATTTGTTATGAAACAAAAAATGATTATTTTTAAATTTCATTTCAAGTGGCTCGTATCACTAAACGAGTCAAATTCTACTCCATACTGCATAAAACAAAATATATGACAGAATTTGAGAATTCTCAAACCTCTACAAATTCATGTTTATGAATGTTAACCAATAAATTTTGAAAAATAGCAGATAATTTATTTACTGAGAACACTTGAAGTTGAACTTATTCAAAGCCAAACTGACCAACATTTTTTTAATGTATTGGGGATTCCAAAAAGGTCATGATATATTTACCAAAGTTATACCCTGTAGAAGTTGAGACATCACATTTTGGTGATACAGAAGCAATCCTATATGCTGGTCTCAGCAAAACTCTCGCCTAGAAAACAATTGAAATAAGAAAAGTGAATCAAATTCATCCATAGTGGATTACTTGTTGAATAAAAGACATGTCGAATGCAACACAAAGACCTCTTTAGCAACCGCTTGATAAATGTTACAGCGATTTGAACTGGACCTTGTCTCTTTGATAAATAATAATAAATCGAAAAATTAATGGGTTCAATAAATATATCTACACAACAAAAAATAATGTAAAATCAAAATAATACTTTGACCTATTTTTTTTTTGCTAAAGTTGGTAAGATAGCAAGTGCTGCCACCTGACATTTTATTTTATTGAGCGAAAAATATTTGGAAACTACACTGTGGTCTATTGCCACCACAGAACTATAACTTAGTTAGGTAGTTCTGTGGTACTGGCTTATACTTTTATGGCCCTGCTAGTTTGAGCAATTTGCCAGTCGTCGGTGATCAAATCATTACCCACTTGAAGTTATCCTCAAATGCCCCAAACTTTTCCCAATATATATATATTTATCTTTTGGTTTTCATGTAATTATTTTTCAGCAGCTTGAGTGCAATAACCTTTTTCGATTTCATATAATTTCTAGAAATATGTGGATTCGTTTTCCGATGGCGTTCCAGGTTAGCTTCCTAAATTTCTGCTACGATTGTTCAAACCAACAACACTGACATAGAAGTTTGGCAAGTTTCTCAACTTCTGAGAGCTGTCGTTCGTATGCTATCAGCTATATAGCTGATTAACGGAAAAACAGATTTTTTTTTTAATATAAATGTACTATTATACACAAATGAGTACATACACAAAGAGTACAACACTACAAAGAGAAATAAAGTACTTTTCTTGGTTACTCACATTTTGTCTTCAGTCGAGGACCGCCTATTTTCTCTTCTTATGCTACGCATAAGAAGAATAGATCATTATAGTGTTCTAGTGTTAAGTTTTGCTTCGTAACATATTTCTTTTACTATTTCTGAGGAAAGAGTTTTTTCTTTTGGTTATGCTTCTAGTCGAGTGTTTGTACATTTTGTTCATAAGGGAAAATAATTATCCCTATTCATTCTGGGTAATCAACACGTTGTAGCTGAGGCCAAGCATTATGAAGGATTGTGAAGAAAGCAACACTGCAGATAAACTCTGTATGTATATGCCATATGCACTTATTGCATTTTGGAGTTCGGTATTTCGCTTCCATTCCAGAATTTATAAGAATAAAAATATTTTTATGTTAACTTTTGTGCAAAAGATTTAAGTTTGCGAACTTAGAGATCGTTCCAATCTTTAGGAGGCTTCATACTATTGAAGGTAATTGTGAGTAAAATTATTATTAACTATTTTCTTAAAGATCAACAACTTTTTATATACCGTCAACGTGCTGATTACATAGATGGCGCGTATCGTTTGTTAAAAAAATATTGAATAGCGATTTTTACTGTTTTTTTTTCAGAAATTTTGCAATGAGTAAAAATAGTCATTTGTCCGAGAATGAGGATGACCCCGATGTTTACGAAAGCTCGGGTGATGAATGGAACAGCGTCGAAGAGGTATGTATACTTTTCCCTCCATATTTACTGTAGTTGTTGTATGTAACAAGGTTGTTGATAATTTCAACAAGGAGTTTATATTGGGATCAGTAAATAAAAAACGCTCCAGGATTTAGGCTCATTTGATAGGAGAATTGAAATCTTTGGCCTAGAACACTTTTTTTCCTCACAAAAATTGAAGTACAGTTCTTCAACTTGCATTTTGCTGACCAAATAAGCATCATTAGTAGATGAATTACGATAAATCTTTACAACTAAATTTATACATATAGGTGGGCCTATGAGGTCTTAGTACTAATTATTGTGTTAGTTTGTTTTGCATCACAATTCCTAATTGTAATGTTAATTACTACTGTTTTTGATATATGTTTCTATGGAATTTTTTTGGTTACAGAACTTGCTCTTTATAAAATTATAGGATATATGAATTTTTGTCCATTGATCATGGAGATACAGCCACTATTTCAGGAACTTGATTGTGGAGATTGAAGTGAAGTGGGGATTTTTCATTCTAAAACCCCTGGATTACCTGTTCACAAGGAAATTCTCGTACAATATCTCTTCACTTTTTAATCATGAACAGCATGAATTCTTATCAAAAAAAATTTACTGCTAATCAGTGGTTATTTGAACTTGAACGTATGTTCACACATATGAAGATGCTTCTCTTTTTATTCATTGAAACTCTTGCCGAGAAGAATGTTACAGTTCTGTTGTGTGGCAGCAGTATTTTTGTAGGATGACCAGTTCTATCACAGCTAGTCTAGAAAATGCTTAAGATATGTAACCAAAACAACTGTTGAAGTACCTATAAATTCTTATGGGTTACTGTTACTATTCCTTTGTGAGATATCTGCTTGAGTAACGGAATGTCATTTAGATCTTAAAATGTACATCAAGTACCAAAAAAGGTGTTATGTCCTGATGTTCAGTGAGATGTAGAACCATATACTAATGGGTATTTCCTTAGTATTTTCATTGTTTTCAAATGTTTGACATACATTTATATTTTTTGGTGCTATTCTCATTTTTCAAAATCATGCTGTTTAATGAAATGTTAACTGGGGTATACATCTCAAGTATTCTACTGACAAATGACATTGTTGATTTGATTCACTTCCAGACTAAATCAAATAGGCGCTCTTCAAGGCGACTTAGTAAAAAGCCAAGAATTACTGTAGCAGAACCTGAGAGTACCGATGAAGAAGATTCAGACAGTGAACCGAGAAAAAGAAAGTCATCGAAGAATGGGGTGAATAAAAAAAAGCAAAAAGTTGCAAAGAAAGATGAGGACTGTTCATCTTCTGATAACAGCAAAACAAGCACCGGCAAAACATCTACAAATTCTGAATCTAAGGTAGCAATCTCAATTGTTCCGACAGCAAGGGGAATTCATCGAAAGTTCATGCCCAAAACTATTTTCTCCGAGGACTATTCGGTAAGTTGTATTTACATATTATATATATGTTGTGTATATGTTGATTTGTACAAGTTACAATACGTTTGAAGCAATACTGATTTGAGAGACTGAGTCAAGATAGTGAGTTACAAGTAATAAGACAGTTCCTAGAGGCTAGGAAAACCTAATTTCATTGTAATTTCTCATTATATGATATTAGCAAATATAAAAATATCAGGGTAGCAGAGATCAGTCAATTTAAATCAGTTATTAAAAATTAATGATTCTTATCCATTATTTCTTCAATAAACCAATTTTAATGCCATAAATCATTATTGAAATTTAAAACAATGTATTTACATACATATTTATTCATTGTTAATCATAATCTGAACGTGAAAAAAATCAAAATTTATATTTTTATTACAGACTGGTTCTTTCGTTATCCTTAAGAAGGATGCCCAGGTAGGAGATCCATCAAAACATGCCTGTATATGGCGAATTGATGGTAAAGCCCTTCTCCAAAAATATGAAGCTTTTGATGATGAGGGCAAAGTGAGACATAAAAATACCTCTATTGTAAGTATCTTCGTGTCTGTAGTTATATTGTACATATAGTTTTTGATGCCCTGAAAATAACCATCCCTAGAAATTTTATTAGTTTTATGTATCCGAAATAGTAATAGAGAAGAAAGTAGTGATTGATGGACAAACTACGATCTATCATTTTTTTCTCCAAGTCTCTGAAAAACACTTCTACAGTCTCTTGAGCTTATTTTGTTTGTCCTACCATTGTTTCATGACAGTTTTGTTCCATGTACTACTTTACTTTGTTGGATATTTGTCATATTCTGGATGTAATTTGGAGTAACATTACAAGCTGTCTGTATCCCTTTGTTGTGTTACTTGCAGCTAAGGTCTCCCATCACACATCCTAATTTTGTGTCCTCAACATGCATTATGTAGCCCAGTAATTATTGCAAGCCAATCCCTGTTTTGTTGAAACAGTTCTTCAGTTTCAGTTCCTAATAGTAAAATGTCAGGGAATTTTCAGTGGTTTATATTTATTCATTATTCACATCAAAATATTAAAAATTGTATTTTTCTGTGATTTTCTTTTTTTTTTAATCTGACAGTATTATATTTAGTTCTAAGCATGGAACTGTAATTAAAATTTCTCAAGCGCCAATTTTATAAGGAAATGATCAAATCCTAGACTGGCTCAAAGGCTACCCTTTCAATTGATCACAATTTGTCACTGTAAATGTCCATCTAACAGTACTCGCTTCAGACACCTGAATTCTCGATAATGTTTTGTCTCAAGGTTTGGTACTCGCTCCCACTCATTTCTATATTTACATCAACTTGCAGCAGTTACAACAATAATCTGCACAAGTGGACTGAGAAAATTTCCCTATTACTAAACCCACCTAAAAATTAAAATATCATTATAAGATTTTTTCCAAATTTAAACCCGTTTATGAATTCCCTATATGTATCAACAACACACCTATTCCTTCTGTTTATGGGGTTAAATGTCTGTTATTTTTGACTAGCAGTTCAAATTCTCCAAACAATTGTGCCATTGCAAAAAGAACCTTGAACTATTTCCCTTGACAGAATCTAGAAACTACCATTGAAAAATGCTCTGCAGTTCTTTTGAAATTTTGCACACTAACGATCCTATCATAGTGTGTAGGCTTTCACGACCGGTGTCTAACATATTGTTTGCCGTGATCTGCAGGTTTTTCAGTCCTTTAATAAGTACGAACACATCAGGACCATTTTCAGTTTGTGTATCGCAGCAAGGTAGATCACATTGACTATTGCCACATCGCCTTTGATAATACCTGCCCAAAAACCTGCAGACCACAGCTAATAAACCCGAGAACAGCAAAAATTCTGATAGTATAGGTGCCTTGCTTATCAGCTGAAGGAAATACCAAAATGCAAAAAATTGAGAAATAATGTATTCGTTTCATAACAGCAGTCCTTTCTCAAGCCCACAGGAAACTAACTTTTGAAATTTGATGAAACACATTTTATTCACTATGCTTGCTGTGTCTATAAGATTTTGGCTACTGGACTACCTCAGAAATAAGTCGAAGGAAGGACATCCACAACAGAACACTAACAAACATAAATGGCAGATTCAGTATTTCTGTTCATAGTGTTTCACTTTCCAAAGCATCCTTTTCATATTTAGTAGCTTATGTGCAAAATAATATCCCTTTAGAATATCTAAATGTATATGCTCTCCATCTGAAGAAAAATATCTAACAGGCTATCATGAATGCAGCCAAATACAATTAATTTTGTTAAATTTTAATCTTGTCTTTTTCGCATCACATATCTGTATTTCAGCCTGAGTCAGGAACCATTCCTGTGTGATTGTCTTTGTATATTAAACAAAATAAATTGTTTTTAATTAGCATCAATATTACAAGCATTATAGTGAAATGAATGTACATAATTCAATAAATGAAAAAGGTTATGTCTATTAGGTGCAATAAAGAGGATTCTAATATTTTCAAAAATAATTTTCTTTCTAGTATACTGGCTGGTCCCCTATGGATAAAGATCTGTATGCTCCTGTCACTGTGGATGTTGTCCACCATAACAACCAAAATCTTACCGTGGAATTGCACTGGGACAAGTTGAAGGACATTATTGTTGATAGCGATTGAACCTACTATTAAATTTTATCTAAATGAAAATCCTATTTTGTTAAATTTCACCTGGATATAATATTCCAACTAATTGATGAATCTTTGATAGGTTTATTTTCAGAAACAACACATTTTTTATTATAATTGAGACAGAACTTTATTAGTTATTTGATCATGTAGATGGTAATTTTGTAAGTATTTTAAGTTCCAAATATAAATATTATAAATGAATTGTATTTATTATACACATTTTTCCAAAGAAAGTAAACAGTCACAATTTCAATGGGATTTATGCTTCTTGAGTAGGGGCCACTGCGTAACTCCCTGATAAAGGAGAATCTATTATCGTTTTCCTCATTATAACATACAGGATAGCTCCCAAAATGATTTCTCCTATTCCAACGAGTATCACTATGACGTATGCTGGGACTGCATTGTCACCTAAAAAATAAAGTAATTTAACTTTTTGCTGTGTGCAAATAAATATTCAACTAATTACAATATCAAATGGACTTCTAAAATATAGAACTTGCATAGGTTGATTTTTTTAAAATTTTTTCATAACTTTGAAATATTCTAAGGCAAATTAAGACATGCAATTCCTAAAATAATGAATTGGAAAACACGTTTTTTCATTGGGTATTTTTTACTAAATATTTTATTGGCTTTAGTGTATGCACACCATTAGGATTTACTGTATCAAATAATGAAGTTATCCCGAATAATTAATAAGGTTGTTACTTAACTCTGAAGATGAGAAAGCTCAGTTCTGTACAGATAACCGAATAAAGAGGTGTAGTCAGTAAAGTGACGAGTGTTTATTTATTGTTTCCCATCGAGTATTCTACCATTCGCCAATATGTTTCTTTTATTTGTCCTTCACAGCTGACTTTTCAAATGAAATATAGGGGCTAACTTAAGTAAAAACTTCAGCATTTTTACGATTTTATGCATAACAATCTTTCATTGCTCTGTTTTTCGAAATCAAAAGTACTCAAAAATTCTTTTGTTTCCTAATGAATATTTGTTTTTATTGGAATATTACTTTCAAGTCAACTCTATACAGTTATCTCGATACAGAATGCTTTTTACTTTTTGGAAAAATTCTTAGTCCCAATGAATGATAACTGAATTTTGAAATGTATATGAATCTTCTTATGTTCCGTCTAGTACTCAGAGTAGTCTGCATTTATAGAATTTTCAATGCTGAATATGAATCTAACAATTTAAATTATCATTTCGGTATATCTCTGAAAACACTGTGATATATAATTTTTATATTATATAATTCGGTAATCCTTTTTACTTTTGGATGAAATGCCAAAATGCCTTTTTTTTAATTTTCTTCTGTTTGAAAATGAGATTTTAATTATAAAAGCAAACGATAAAATGATGAGATAAAGCAATTAAGAAAGTCGGGAATCAAAACTATGTGTTTATGAAGAATTGATAATTAATTGTATTTCCACTAAATACCTAGATATATCACAAATGTAACTACTAGAGCATAAGGTTTTTCGGTTTCCGCTGAAGACAAGACTGAAGTGTCCAATACAGATCCATCTCTTTAATAACCAACTTAAGTAAAATATTCGACATACGGATTTTTGGTTTCCCTTTTCCTTTCAATGAAAGGAGTATTTTTATCCAAAAAGTCAATGCTCCTGGGAAATGGATTTATACCATATTGATATGCATATCAGGTCAGCTCTTGTAATAAAGTATAAGTAGGTATATTATTTCGTTAAGTATTAAATACGAAAACACATGTGTTTTATAAGTATCCAGAAGTACTTAAAAGTATAATAAATATCGAATTTTATTTTCTGAGTGTTCAGAGTGTCATCGTTAATTTTAATGACCTGATAAAATTAATGAATCCATCTGGGTTAGTACTACATACAAAGCGCTTGTTATTCGAGACAGAGAAAATATGAAAAATAACCCTTGCAGTGACATATATATGTGTAGCAGGCTTGCTACATTAGAAATAGCTGGAGTCTGTAGGTAATTCTTGCGGACTTATCCGCCGGACATGTAGAGGACGTTCAGAGTAGGTACCAGGTTTGGAAATAATTTTAGACTCTTTCTGATTAATAGGAATTTTTCTGAGATAATTTGAATTACATTCCCTAATAGAGTTAAGGTGGAAAGTTTCGGAAAAGAATTAATGGAGTCGTGCATCCCGGGGTCGTTTGGAGGCTCTTAATCGAGGCGGCTGGCCCCTTTGGAAAGGTCGCCGGGAAATCTCTTGAAGGGACTGAGGTGGTAGGTGTTTCAAGACACTGGGTTGCGAGGTGATTCCAGTATTGATAAATATTCGCGGTTTAGTTGAATAGAGGTAAAGGGAGTCGTACGTGGACCCAAAGGTCGTTTGGAGGCTCTTGACCGGGGCGGTTGATCCCTTTGGGGAGGTCCCGGGGAAGATTTAAGGGATTGAGACGCTAGGTGTTTTAAGACACTGGGTCGCGAGGAGATGTCAGTAGTGATAAATATTCGTGTTTTATTTGGCTAGCTGACTTGAGGTAAAAAATCAGGAGCGTACGAACTCAGAAGTAGGTCGGTTGGACTTCCTATGGAGTTCTGGGTAAATTCTAGAGGTACTGCAATACGAAGATATATCAAGTCACTGTTTCGAGAAGTGATCTCGATATTTGAGAGTATTAGGAATCACACGTTAAAAGGTAAGACCTCGTTAGTCCTTAGCTCGCACAAGTTTCTCAACTTCTGAGAACTGACGTTCGTATGGGGGCGACTGATTAACGGAAAAACAGATTTTTTAAACAGATTCGAGTGTTATTTGGCTAGCTGACTTGAGGTAAAAAGTCAGAAGCGTACGAACTCAGAAGTAGGTCGGTTGGACTTCCTACAGAGTTTGTGAAATTATTAAAGGAACTCGTGGAGTTTATTGAGGTATATAGTTGATTGAGGGAACGTTTTCGAGTTTCTGGACAGTTTTTGGGAAAAAGTGACTTTTGTTGGAGACTTCAGAAGAGTCCCTCTACAATAATTAGTTGGTGAGCGTATCTTAAAAATTCTGATCTATACCTATTGTTCATGTTATTGCATTAGTATGTGTTTTACATTTTCGAATTGGCACCTAAGGTATTGTTGACAATTTTTCATTTTTAGATTGTTAGTAGGTTATTGCATGCTCTTACGTTATACATCAGGGAGGAGCGATTAAGTGGGTATCGTAATAGTTCCTCATAGTTGTTTCATTTTGGTTTTAAAGCAGATCCAGTAGAATTCAGGTAAAGCATACCTCTCACTCTGTTCAGAGTGATGTTAATTCAATTGTCAGAGGAATTATCCTGTCATTTTTTCTTCATTGATTTGTTAATATTTTTCACATGGTAATAATTATATATTTCTTTTTCTTTCAAATTGCACACAGTTTAAATAATATTCAGTAAATCATATATACCAGAATAGTATCAATATTGCTTTGTTTAGGTTCAAACTTCACTCATTAATTTTTATTTAATCAATTGGTTAATCCAATTATTCCGCCGACTTTATTCATCAGTAAAGTTGGTTTGTGGAAACTCTGCTAATAGTATTTCATTCCCTCAAACCCTCAAAAGACCATGCAATTAAGCCATGGCCGAATTCAATCTCTGAGGACATAATTGGTGGCATAACCAAGCCGTTGCTCTGTGAAGATTGAAAGGTAAAAATTTCACCTGTTGACCAAGTCACCCACTAATCCTCAATCCATGTGATCTGGCGGCAGCCAGACTACGAAACTAAATTAAAAAATAATCCGTTTGGCCGATTGTGATTTTCACTTGCTATCGTCCAACCCGTATTAGAAATCACACTTTAAAAGGTAAGACCTCGTTAGTCCTTAGCTCACACAAGTTTCGACTTCTGAGGGTTATCGTTCGTAGGGGTGCGATAGCTGTTAAACATAGTAGTATATAGGGATCGCTTAATTCAGACCCGAAGGTCATTTATTACCCTGTGACTGATTTCAATGGTTGATGTTTTTACTTTATTGTAAACAATATGCATTTTTTTCATGCAGAAAAAATGTAATGAGCCTATTTTTTGAGCAGAAAATATTTTTCAAGAGTGTTACCTGATCGGTATCTTTTGAAATAAGTAAGCATTTTCTTATGAAGAACAATCCACTCTCAGGTTGATAGACCATGTTACATTTTGCTGAGGACCTGATTCACGGTCAGTCTGTGGCTACCTTCGGCAGGTAGATAAAAGTAACACAAATGTGTGGCGAAAAATGACCAACTCCCGCCAAACGGTCACCTCCCATTGAACCAGTGAAGCGGAAAAAAATGGAAAGCGTGGATAAGTGAAAGTACTCGAACGACCCATAAATAGTCATCTCTCAGAGGAATCAGTCCAGTCATCACCCGAAGACGATTGTAGATAGGGGAGAATGTTCCACGATCAGACATGTTCCACAATCAGACAAAGCAAGTAATTTTGAAATTCCAGCCGCGAGTTTGATGTTTTTCGTTCGGATAGTAGGGTTACACACGCAGTTTTGATAAACAAAGTTGTAACACTAATCTTTTGGATTTGAGCATTTTTCAGCAAAAAACTTATTTTTCCTAGGTAAGTTTTTTCTATCCTTGATTTGATATTATAAGCCTTAATTTTTCTTTTGGAACTAGTAGTACAAAAACAATCTGTTGATCAGATTTTGGGCTATTTTATTGACATTTATTATTATATTATTATTATTAAAAAAGTCACTTATGGAGCACCGTATGGTACTTAGGGATTGGTTTCCGACTCTGGATGGATGACTCGTGAGTTGTTTCCAAGCGTTGTGAGGCATTTCATTGAACATACGTCCAGCACAAAAGAAAACCCTTTCCTCCTGATTTTTGACAATCACGAGAGTCATCTGACGATAGAAGAAATGAATCTAGCAAAGGAAAATGGAATGATCATTTTGACCTTACCACCGCATACTCCCAACAAGATGCAACCGTTAGATGTCTCTGTGTTTTTTTTCGTTCAAATCATTCTACAATACTGCCTTACAAACATGGCTTTTAGAACACCCTGGGATACCCGTTTCTATTTTTGATATAGCTGGCTGTGTTAATAATGCATTAGAAAAATCGATGACGCCAGCTAATATAAAATCCGGATTTCGAAAAACTGGGATTTATACTTTCGTTAAATTCATATTTTCAGATGACGACTTTGCAATTAGTAGCGTAACTGATAGGAATGTGGATCAGAACAATGAAGAA